CTGGCAGTGGATGAAAAGCTTGTGTGTGAGCTTTATGCACCAGCTGGTTGAGCTGTCCTCAGTGGTATCCTGCAAGATGAGTCTTCTCTGCTTCGATATCTAATCCAAATGACTAGATCCCAGAAGCAATAATCTAGATTGCATCTGTCCTAATATTCAGTCAAACCAAGCTTGCTGTGCTGATATCACTTGATATCAGCCGACCATGTTTTTTTGGAATGTGTGTGCATGCAGGTGCTTCAATCTCGACTGCAAAGACTTCTCCGCTCTATTCATGGGTCTTGAAAGAAGTGGGGCTGGGGGAGTCATGGTGGCAATATGGGAGCTTTCTACTTTTGGTGTTAAATCTTTTGTTGCAGGCTGTTGATCACTGCTCATATTTTTCCATTGTTTGGAACTTCCTTTGATGATATAGATGTGGTTTAATCACATGCCATGCACGCACTTGATGCATGAACCAAACGTTTTTGCAATTTGCACTCAGATCAGGAAACATCCTTCACGAAGACCCGCCAAATGCTCCACTATGTTGAGAAGGACTTTATCTCTAGATCTAGATCTGTTGGTGAGGTTATGCAAGGCATGTTTTGAACATTCGGGGAGATGGCCGCCATGGCCATGCCGGAACCCTTGAAGGAATTTCGTTTCCATGGTGTTCGAATGCAGGGGCCATGCAAACAACTACAAAAGGCTGGTGCTAAGGGCAAGCACACTTCGAATGTTCAGCGGGATATCCTCTCAAAGGTCGATAAGTTTGATCCTACACAGGCAGAGGGTTCACAAACACATCTATTATTAACATGTGTGTCCTTTTGGAATTTAGTTGCAATGCTGTGTGCTACCCCTACCAACATGCATGACCCCAAGATTTCCCCAACCTTTGTGCTCACCAGGTGCCAATTGATTGGATAGAAATTTCTCTGCAAGCTGAACGGGGCCCGAACAATGTTGAAGTCAGGACGTATGCGCTGTCTCAACTGCATCGACATAACCTATTGCCTTGTAGATGTCAACTGTATGTTCAATTCCCTGTTTTTTAATCAAAAGGTTATCTCTCTTCTCATTGACTCATGTGTGCAGGAAGCATCCAATAATTCTACCCCACAAACTGGTCACCTATTCTTCATGGCCAAGTCTGGATTCTGGTGCAGTGAAGCAATACTGGGAACATCTATCTCTGCATCGCAGCCCACTAGCAAATCTCAGTCCAGGCCAAAACCACGTACCAGTGTGGCTTTGGGGTGACGAAGCACAATATCGAAAAGGCAGTGGTGATCAACTTCTGCTTATTTGCATGGGGAGCATACTGCATGAAGAAAAGTTCTCAGTTGCCTCTTGCTACCCATTGTCCCTGTGCCGCTCTGATCCTCAAATGATTTAATATGTGTTTTGTTTTGGTGCCTGATATTGTTGCATTTCCTGGTCCAAATGGGCATGTACTAGTGACATTAGAGGTGTCATTAATGAAGGATTGTTTCAAAACATTATATTATGAAATCTTTGGTCAACAACCGTTGATGAGGAGTTAAAAGCTGGCTTTGCAACTGTTCATGGTATTTTGGACGCTGTACCTTAGCTGAATTATCCCGACTCCGATCCTGCACTGCCCACCCATTCTCCTTGATTTGAGCTGGCTTCCTGCGGTGGCCGGTTGGCTAAGGTAGTCCAGTCTCTGCAAGTTCTATACGATGAAGGTGCTGAACTTCACACTGGGGAGGCCAAGGTGAAGTTCGTTGTCACTGAGATCCGGGGGGATTGGAAGTGGCAACAGGATACCAGCTATCAATAATTCTGTTCTGCTCAAATTGTCAGTTTTGCTTTGGATTTATTACCTCCGGTACCGACAACCCAGCTATATTTCATTTTCAACCATCATGCTGCTATAGGAATGGCTACAGCTATCCAAGTACTATTTGTGCAATGGCATATGTCACAACTGCAGAGCTACGTTCCCGAATTACTTCACTGCACCTGCAGACTTGGGCAACCAATTTCGTCAGACTACACAGACCTTTCTGGAGGAATGTGTGAAACATGGTGCACTGGAAAGACACTAAGCTTGAGGGATCATACTTTTGCAATCTGCCTATAATACGTGCATGTTGTACCATTATTGTCAACTATGCTGTGTCCAGCAGCTCTAGAGCAACGTAAACACTGCAGCTTCATTGCACAGACTGTCATCTGGAATTGATCTTAGGTCCGTTGCTACGCTTGCCGGGGTTCCAGCTCGCAATGATAAAGTGGGATGGAATGCATGTGGTCAACCTGGGTGTGGATTTGTGGACTGTAGCTTCTGTGGTAAAGAAGCTTTTTCAGTACGAAGTGTTTGGAGGGCTGGACATGGATGAGTCCGACCGCTACTTAATTGCATATGATTTGTTCAAGAGCTGGAGCAGAACAAACAAAGTCTGGCATCTAAGCCGCATATCAGCTGGAGATGTCCCGTATATAGATGTCCTGTATATTTGTCATATATATATATATCTAATAATATCTAATATATTTGTCTGCAAGCCCAGGCATTCCATGCCCAAGTTCCGTCCTTGGCGGTTCCGCTCGAAGCTACATCCATGGCCAGAGCTGCAATCCAAGGCCTATAATGCGCCTTGCTGGATTGCAAGATTGAGACATGTATGATTGTGAACTCTAGATGTGATGCATGATGTGCTACTGTCTGGATGCATGAGCCGTGATTGTACAATACATTTTAATCAGGTGAAGCACACTGCACACATAGACCAACAGCCTATCTCAGGCCAGATGTGTGACGGCCTGGCTTTGTGAAGAAACCATTGGCATTGCTCGTTGCTTCCCTGGTGATGAGTGGTTGTCTTTGATGGCGTCCTGCTTGCAACTCGGTGTCGCACTGGGCAAGTTTCTCCCACCCAATCGCCCTAAGATTCAGGCCACATGTGTTGGACCAGTGCATACAAATAAAAAAGGTATACTACCAACTTTTATGTCTAACTTGTGATCTAATTTCACATTGAATGGCTGAAGTCACAGCACAGTGTGGCAGCACATGGAATCTGGGTAACCTATACTGTGTGCTGTGGGACTCTGGTCTACAACTAAGGTGGTGCCTAGCGGAGTGGCACCGCAGAACAGAACTGCTCCCTCGATACCTATCTGAAGCTGAATCTGGGGAGATGGTTGGTGTTTGTGACAGATTTGCCTTTTTCTACGCTACCCTGTCTAGAAAGGCGGTTGCGGGAGAAGAGCTACTGTTCCCTTTGAGACCCAAGCTCCACGCAATGCAAGAGATTGCATTCATCCAATCCCAGGAATGTTTCTTGGCCATGATCAGTTCTGATCTCTAAATTACCAAATTGTTGAAACCGTTTGAAACCTAAAAGGTGTTTCAAGCCTTTGCTGATATGTGTTAACAGTTAACAGGCCTAGGGATTACATTGGCAAACCCTGCAGGCTACAACCACAGGTTCTATCAAGGGTATAAGCCCGAGGATTTCATTGGCCGGATGGTTACAGTGGTGAGTGCCCGCAACAACTGTGATATGGAGCTTAAGGGCCTGAAGTGTTTCTACTTGGGGTAGCTTCGTTAAGTTCAGTCCTTTTAAAATTTGTTTTCAAATTTCTGCATGCATCTGGTCCTAATGCCTAAAGCATTGGTGGCACATAATATAATATCTATAGAGTGTTTTCCTGAAGATCAAACTCGTCTCGATTTCGATTTAGCCATTTGGCAGGCAGAAGAGCCACAGTGAGTTGAACCACTGGGACGCATTCACCTCTGATGATGAGATGGAAGATTAATTCGATGACTTACAATTCGATGTTGCCACCCCCTATCCAAGATGGTCAATGTTTCCAGATCATATGTTCCATTTCAGTTGTGATCTTAAGTGGCTGGTGGCTCGGATTCTATTATGTTTGCTGCGAAAAGCGCAATGGCTAGACCATCATCGATGAAAAAGATTGCTTCTTGAACTTTGGTGAGGGTGTCGGAAATCAGGCTTTTCCAGCTTCTTGTCAGCACTAGCGCAGAGTGAACATTTTCCCAAAACCAAATAATTGATTGATCGAAATGTGATGTGGCTTCTCAGCCTATGATCACGAACCCTAGGGCTTTATTTGGTGCCAAAGCGTTTTCACTTTGGGTGGAGGAAGTGTTAAGTCTTTTGTATGTGCTTTTGGCGGGCTATAGGCTATAGCATTGAAGCCGTCAATATCATGCAATGTCTTCACCATGATTAAATGTTTGGCTCTCTTTTCCCTGAGTTCATGCCATACAAATCCCTACAAGCCATGATCTAGGTACTTCGACGAATACTTTGGATAGCTAGCAAAACAGTACTTTTGTAGAACCATGTTTCCCTACTTGCCTACTTGCTCTAGTCTGATCTAGCAAAATGCGTTCCAAAGTAACTCGTGCCTTTCGGGGAAACAGCAAATCCAGGTCCCTGTTGCTCTGGATTTGAGTGTGTGTGTGTGTGTTCAAGTGTAGCACAATGCGGGAGCCTCAACTGGTCGGTTACAATGAACGTGGGCTGAATTGCGACATCTACGGTCTAAAGCCCATGAAGTGACACAAAATGGCTAATCACTTTGTACTCAACATGGCGTTCATGCGAGAACTGCTGCCACTTTTCCAGCAGAAACTGACATTCTTTGGTTCTACACTGAGCTGCTGGTAGTAAGTCAGTAAGTATATGGAAGCCACTTGGCAAACAACTAAGTAAACCCAGGAACCCCCAACTTCCAGGAATATGAAAACTGAAAATGGCGCATGCCAAGAGGGTATCTCAGCGAAGGGCAACTTCTCCACCCTTAGAAATTTATGTGGTTAGTTCAAGTTCAAGCAGAATATGATGAAACTTCCGTGGATGTCCTCTGAGCATGTGGCACGGGATGTTTCCGATAGGTCTGCAGATCAACTACCTCCATCTGAGGTGGTGGGATTTCTCAGGAGGGGAAGGTCGTTCCATCCGTGGCAACTGGAGGTGGTCTACGGCCGCTCTGATGTACCACCGAGCCACAGAACCTCCCAATTATGTGACAGCTGCTCGCAGCAGTCGCACATCACTGCCTTGGCAGGGTCATTGAGGCTGGCCAGATCAAAGGATCTCCTCCACTACTTGGAAGATTGGATGAACACCTGCATCTCATGGGCGGTCGTACGTCAAGTTTTTTAGTAAAAGATCTACCTTACAATGTGTTGCATTCCACACATCGACTAAGGAAGGATATTATGGGTTCGCGAAAAATAGGACCTATCGCCCCTTGTATGTCCCTGGATGTCCCTGCAAATTCCAAAAGCACTTGAACAAATTGAGAAAATAGCAACAATCAAACCCAAAGTTTGGATCTAATCTAATTGCAGTACTATATGGAATAGAATCTGCAACGCTAAGATCTTGCTTGGAACCAAAGATCCCACACGACATGAGATCACACTATCACTAACTTCACAGCCTACGAAACTCCCAATTGTTGAGGTGGAAGTTTAGGAGATCAAACTGCTTTCTGAAAGGCTGAAAGTGTGCATGTGTATGTGTATGTATGCATATATATACACAGAATATGTAGGTCTCCACGGAATAATTAGAGTTCCAAAGAAACCCGGTTTATATTGGATCCACTGCGACCTCCCCGCAGTGGAAACGCAGCTTTGGCGGTCTCGAGGCCGAGAAGCTAGGAGGCCTTTGGCAGCTTTCAAGATTGATTCTGTATCTTTGGTCCGGATCTCCTTGCAAAAGCGTCAAACGTCTGCCAAGGTATCGTTCGCCCGAGGGGCGAAGCACTGCTCAGCTAGTGTAGTAAGTGCTGTGTTGCTGTGATGAGTCCTGTCACCTTGAGGGCAAAGGATTCATGTGCAAACGATCCATGTGGAACCACCCACAGTTCCATCGTCTATGCGAAGACACCCGTACATTATGTGACTTTTGGACTTTTGGAATACAATGTAATGAACAAATGGCTACACATCTATCAAACACAAAGCCGCAAAGCTCGAAACCTTGCATCTATATATCCATGTATATACCTGGAAGACCCTCTGGAGTCTCGAGCTGGGGAAACCAACTGGCGCTTGACCTGGAACAGCAACTGTATGAGCTTCATTATTAAAACGCCTTGTCAACAAGTTGACAGTCAGATTGTTCAAAGTATCCAAAACAATCTAGGAACCAAATCAAAGTATCCAAAAGAATCTAGGAACCAAATCATTAGTGCGGTGCGAGCTCTTCTTGAAGGAAGCTCCCCTGCCACCTTTAGGGCAGCGGGGGGAGCTTTCTTGAAGAAGCGTGAGCTATCCTGCGTCCTAGCTAATAGCGTCCAAGTAGCTCTTCCTCTTAGCGGCGTACCCCACCGGGCGTTTTTAAAAAGTGGCTGTCTTGTCTTCGTCGACGTTACAAATACTTGGGCTGCGGCTATGTTTTGGTGCACTCGAAATGTCTAGTCTCCATATTATGCGTCCATGTGTCTCCATCTCCATGCGAGAACATGACGCTTCTCAGAAGTCCTCCTTTTTGAGACTCTCTTCCAGCTCCATGGTGCTCTGCTCCTCGCAGTTGTGCTACATGGTGCGAACCTATGGTCCGGTTTCTTTGAGTGAACCTATAGTGGGTCCTCTCTGGGCGGGCATGATATTGAGAAATGTTGAGGGTGAATCGAAGTCAGGTACGAAAGCTTTGAGAAAAACAAAACCCTTTGGACACCCGCTCCATCTTGCTCCCAGACCCTCAGTACCTGTGATAATAATTGCTCTATGGCAGCACTCCCCAGTGCGGTTGGATGGATTGCGCAACCAGCAGCATGGTCCGGTTGAATTGCCACCCCTTATTCCAGGGTCGGGGAGTGAGCCTCAAAACAAAACAGCAAGATTGCCTCCATCCCGATATCGATGGCCTCCAACCTAAGAGCAATGGCCTTCATCCTCCGGCTCCCAACCTACTAGCAATAGCCTCCAACCTAGGAGCCATGGCATATTACAAACATAAATAATAAATGGATAGTAAAAGTTGGATTCTCCATGATTCTCCACACAGTCAAACGCCCTGAGGCACAGCCGGGTGTTTGTTCGGGGTGAAGATTTGAAAAGGTGACTCATCTTTCCAAAGGACGTGGCATCATCTTTCCAATGAGCACCTCCAGGTGGAAAATCCAAGAAAACGACCATGGCTCATTGGGTCTCAACCTCGCTTAGTGGGCCGATACGCGAACAGAACCCTGCATGTTCTGAGCCATCTTTACTTGAAGCCTTTAGAAGAAAGCCCCCAGTTGAAAGGGCCACGACTCCTTTGTTTATCTCTTTCTTTTGAGGAAACCTCAATGGATCAGCACGTCAGCGATTTTCGGAGGACAGACTTGGGATGCGAGAGGCTCTGTGGCGCATCCGTTGGATGCTGTTAGTGAGCTGCCACCTTCTGTTGACATCGGTCTTGGAAACAAAACCGACAGAGATGCACCTTTTCAAACTGATGGTTTGCAGTGACGGAGAGAAACTATACCTGAGACTTTCAGAATAGTTTCTGACCAACGTAATTGCCCGGTGATCAGGGTGGTTTGGTCAATTCTCCTCTCATGGTCTTTCTGAGCTCCAATTGAACCATCGCAAATCAAGGTTTTTCACCAGACTCGCCTGGGATGATTTGGTTCCAACCTACATCTGTTTCGGGCAGTAGAATAGTTTGGTAGTGCACTAAAAAACGTGATTGTTCTAAGCACATGACCTCCCCTGCGATTACACCTACATATAATTACCTCTTTTTAGTAGCAACTCAAATCCAATCTCCACCAGAAGAACCACCTGGCTTCTCGGCTGCAAGGATTCGGTTTTGCACGTGCTGGCGCCTGACGAATGGTCAAGTAGTTGAGCTGGCCCAAAATCACTGCCATGAACACCACGGAGACGACCTAACTACGAAATCCACGGGTAAAGTAGGCTGCGCTGTGGAAATGCGGGGGCCAGTACCTTGCAGTTTCAGCTTACCGAAGCAACCAAAGCCGAGATTCTCAACACGAAGAGTAAGTATGGTTACCACGAAAGGCAACAACCAGTGGTTCCAGGAGTGAAATACAGTCGCCTATTCAAAACCGATGAAAATCCTCACTTTCTCTACTTCCCAGGTGTGGACCCACGACTACCAAAGTTTCGTTGGACTGGGGTGGTGCAATTCCAGCCTTGGGCTTCCACCTTCTCTTGTGCTTCCACCGGCCAATGCCCATCCCGATCCGCCTCGTTGACAAAGAGAATCGGCAAGATGGACAAGTCCCTCTCAGGGCCTTGGCGCACATAGCCGCAGGCGACAAAGGCGGGGAGCAGGTAGAAGTTCACCCGCACCTGCGCTGCCGTGCGCTGCAGTTCAGCAAACTGCGGATGTGATGACGGGTGAATTCCACATGGGGTGTTTGATTCTTTTCGAGATGGCGCATGGACTGAACTGTGTCCCATGTCCATCCCCTGTCAAGTGTGATCGACGATCACTTGTGTGCTCACGCAATTGAATGGATGCAAACGAGGCATGACCCCAACAAATTACATGAATGACTGCACCGTAAACCCATGTATAAAGGCTCAAATTGAGGGGCTAGGACATAAGACGATGTTCAACACGTCGTCGCCTGTGGTTTGATCACCGAGGCACTTCTTGTGCTCGGAATTCGCGGATGTATAAACATGTCACTGTATAAAGCATAATTTCTTTAAACCAGTTGGAGATGTTGCAGGCTGCTTTCTGTCAATACTGCTCGGGTAATGTATGGATTTGGCTTGTCACCTCAGGAAGAAAGTGTATCTTTCTTACAGGCACCAGGCACCTTGTTGAAATGCGCTCGGGTCACAAAACTACGCCGATATTGAAGTTGCAGTATAGATAGAGTGGATCCACTCACCCATTTTGTCAGGATCTCCTAGCGCAATGTCATCTGTATTGAACGGGAAACGAACATGATTTGCCCTACAGTACATTTAACTGTTGATAATTTCTGTGCAGATCTGAAGGTTTGGCACGACCTTAACAATGACTTTTGCATTCTGGTTCCATAAAAGGATTTTGGGAACCTCCAGACACTACTTTTCCGGGGCTTCATTCGGGGGAAGGATGACTCAGGGACTGATCAATCAAGATATTGCCCGTTTGCACCGAGGAGCGGTGAACCAGATGTCAGGAGAGAAGCTTCCAATGAACCTCAAAGGCAAAGCAAGCAAACCGGGTACCCCAGGTACCCCCACATATGGGATTGGATTACGGCCCGGAAGCGCTCCCACCCAGCGACCAAGCTTTAACCATGTTTAACCTCTGCTTTGGATGGTTCCCGGGTTGGAAGGCTTGACCGTTGGCAGTAGGCTTGACCAACTATCATGTGGTCGCGGGCCATCGTGTTCGCCTTTGATTTATCCCGTAGGTGTCTCACAAGAGGGAGAACTTTCAGAAACCACTGGCTGAGAACATGGAAAACAAATCCATTGACACCTTGTCCGGCGCATTCTGTCCTTGATAAAGCCTGACATATTAGTCATATGTTTTCTCACACACATTAGCGCCAAACGCTTTTAAAGCTTGCTTCGGCCAGAGTGGCGCACGGCCAAGATAATTGGCAGCCATGAGGTGGTTTGACAGGTCCACGCCTCAGCCACGTGGGAGAAGCGGCTACTTTGGAAGTTCCAGTCGCGAGTCGCAGGTTGTTCCATTTAATCACAGCAACCTCCTTGATCCACCGTGGGCACAAGTACCAAAAGTCGGGAGTCAGTACCAAACAAAACAGAAGTTTGACGATGTTTAAAGGAGATTGGTTTAGTAGCTTCGGAGAACCAGCTTGGAAGATACGTAAATATATATATATACATATAGTATCTACTTATGAACTACCCATACTAGGTGTTTTGCACCAAACCCAGTGGACGCTTGATGGTCTCTTACACCACCGTCCACCCCAAGCGTCAGCGTCGACCTGCCAAATTCAAAAAGAGTAGACAACTAAACAACTCAGTATTGCAACATACTGCAACAACTAATTCAGTGGTGCATGTAGGTCAAAACCTCTGTGAACCCAAGACTACATAGTTGAATAGTAATGGGTTTGTTCCACAAACACGCCAGCTGAGCATTGGGACTGTTGAGCAGCCCAAGGAGATTGATCAATATACCTGGGCAAAAACGACAAACCCTGGGTCACGGGAAGAATGGCTACAAACCATGATGGGAATTGGGGGCCCTCGACCCCAGTTGACTCCCATCCCCCCAAAGTAGATCAAAGTGCACCCCTAAATACAGGAACTCTAGACTTCTGACGAACGGTAGTGCTCTCAACCTGCAGCCTTTCGTACCGAATGTTGAAGGAAGGGTCGGAACCACCAAGAGTCCCAAGAGTTCAAGGATATTCATCCCATCACATTTCCACAGGTCAGGATTTCTGGCAAATCAACAAGATAAGATTCTACAGTGAGTGGCGAAGCCCAAAGTACCAAGGTACTCCTTATGGAAGGCTTGCATGAACTCTGAAGTTAGTCAATGGCAAGTAATCCGGTTGCAGGTAGTCTTGTCGGCTACAGATGGTTTGCTTTCAGCCTGAGAGTTGAGCATATACCAGTTGTTGCCGAGTCAGACATTCCCCATCAGTAAGTTGACTCCCTTGAACTCACCAGAATGGCATCTGCAACGTTGCAGAACGCATCACTAAGCTCAAAGTTAGCTCTCCTCCACATAAGCTGGGACTTGCTGGCCTGAGGGTAGACCGGGTAGACCATTCTACAGTAACTTGAGATAGGAGGGGGTGAACGAAAGGTAGCAAATGGGCGGGATGGGAAAGGAGTGAGGATCGCAAGGGGTGAGTCCAAGTCTCGAGAGGCTCGAGCGCTTCTGACAAAATTAGGCATTGCGCATGGTTTGGCGGTGGCTGATGTCAACCTGTGACCCTGTGTGCGATTCTCAAAGCAACAGACCGTGTTCGAGAGAGACCCTAATGAAGCAACCCCCACAGGCCAAAGCCAAAGAAATCCTATCTATAAAGAAGCCATGAACGCCAGCCAATGCCAAAAGAAACCCTAAAGACTAAAGAAGTGAAGTCCTAAGCCAAACCCAGAGAACCCCCAAAAACCTAAAGTAGCAAAGTTCGGATGCCAAACCCAAAGACACGATAAAGGCATGTAAAGACTCAAGACATGAAGCCCGAAGCCCACAAGCCAAAGAAACCCTAAAGAAGTGAAGAGTGAAGCCAAGCCTGAAGAAACCCTAAACGAAGTGAGACCCGCAAACCCAGCGAAACCCCGGCAAGACAAGCCCAAAGAAACGCCAAAGTAATGAGCCCAAATAAGACAAGCCCAAAGTAGTGAAGCCCTACACCTTTTCAATTCCAAAGAAACCCTAAAGAAGTGAAGACCTAAGCCACAACTAGAGAAAAACTAAAAAAAAATACCCGAACACCCGGAACATCACTCACATGGGTTGAGTTCTCGAGTTCGAGGCATTCCAGGGTTCCCAAACCGCGACGGCGCAGAGGGGATTTGATCCACGGGCCCCCCCTGTCAAACAGAATCCCTCCTTACAGGACCAAACTCTAGGCAAATCACCAAGTCCTGGTTACAAACATGTTTGCTAAAGCAAAAGGAGAACTCAGGTAGCCTGCACTCACAACACCTCCACATGGGTGGTCCGGTTGTTTCTGGTCATTCATGTCCGTGTCAGTTTCTGTACAGTAAATGGAAAACACACATATGTATATACATGGTTCTGCTAAGGTTCTGCTAAGCATGGCAAGCCGTTCAGAAAACTGGCGTAAGGCTTTTACTACTGGGTTTGGAGTGGTCTTGGAAGAGAGTGTAGAGGAAAGAAATCATCTCTGAGAGAGGGTACATGGTGTAATTTCTGACATTTGGGTCCCATTGAGCCACACCTAAATCTCACTGTGCATGTCACCAAAGACTTGGGCACGGTCTAGTTACCAACCATCCCGCATCAACTATCAGCATGCATTCTGTGCTTTCCATACAAAACATTGCAAACACGACAAAATATTGATGTGTATTGTAGATGTTACATACATGTATATATATATACACACACTATATTTACATATGTAACATGAAAACATGTATATTTACACATCTAAATATTTACTATCTTGTATCATAAATCCCGGGATTCAGAGTCCCGTCCTTTGTTTTACGCATTGACATCACCGGAGATTCTGGGCCAAGGACACCAAGATTCGAATCATTCAGACTGGACATGAACGACCGGCCGATAGACCGCGTAGACCTTGCTTTGTGGAAGACAATGTTCCTCAACAAATCGCTGGTTGCTTGGCATTGTTTGGGCCATATGTCTTGTCCCACAGGCCCAGCGAAGACTGTCCACAACCAGGCTACTCAGCATCATGGTCTGTTGCCGCGAGGTCTTGCCACCTGCACAGGACGTAGTTTCCAAACTTTATATTTCCCACAAACAAGCAAAAAGGAAGCAAGACATCTCAATTTCTACAACTTTATAACATGCTGTTGAAACAGAATGATCCTTTCATATATCCATGCACTATCCATGCACCCCGGGTCCAGGCTTGCCAAAGGCTTTCGTCAATGGCTCCAATACAGTCATGTATCTTCTTTTCATTGGAGGATTGGTGTCTGCATCCAACCTCTGAGTCAATACATGTTGAACAAATCAGTGAAATTACAACAAAAGCGCTTCTAGTTCCAGCACCGGCTCCCAAGCTCTGTTCAACCCCCCTTCCGAAAAAAAGGCCCTGCTGAAATTGGGGGTGAAAACCTGAATCGAGGCATTCAGTTGCGACTAACGACATGCCAACTGGGTGAAACTGCCATGCTTGTCTTGACACGCCTGGCTTTGAGGCCCATCGAGTTAAAACAGCAGAAGAGAAGGCCGTCCAGAAATGCAAGGAGTAGGCAATGTCCTCGATCCCACCTGAGTGTCAAATACCAAGACTGGCCCCCTATTCAATGTCGCTTGCTCCAAATGAACCTGATTCTTTGAGGATTTAGGTGAATATCATATCACCTCACCTCTGTGTCAAATCAGGGATTTTCCTAGCCCAATGCATTTCATTGAACTCGTGAGTTAAACCCTAGTTTTAGATATATATAGATATCCACTTGATAAACGCTGCCCTATCGAAAACACAAACTCATGCGGGACAATCCTAGTTGCAGTTTGCTTTAGACTTCTAATGCAATCTGTGATACTTCAATACTACAATGCCCCCCAATGCATGTGTGTGATTTTAGGGGTTAGGTTTCTTTAGACAGTAGGCCGCTCAAGCCTGACGCCTGGTGCCAAATCCAAGCTGTTACCCTCGATTGGTTTTAGTTGGTTGTTACAAAGGGAAAAGGAAAACCCATTGATTTGGAGGTTTCTTCAAGCCTTTTGAAGCAGTTCTCAGGGACGCTGGCGGGTTCCTATCTTTGGTGTCCCTCTGTTGCGAGGTCACCCTATCAAAAAAACTCTGCATTGTGCGTTCTTGGCAGGCGGGTGCGAATATTAGCATCAATAGGTAGAAGGGATTCGAGGTGGGAGAATTGACTGAAGTTCCAAGGTTTCAGGCCTGGACAAGACAAACATAAATGCTACTGCATTTTGCTCTTGAACCAGGCTTCACTGCTTGAGAAAAGCCAATAGGGGCTTTATGCGGCGGCTTTGTGAATACTAGTAGCAAGAAGCGACTAGGAGCAAAGGGTATCGCTACTAGGAGCAAGGACGCTACTAGTATCTCCTGGCCTTACTACTAGTAGCAAGAAGCTACTAGTAGCGTCCTTGCTAGTAATCCAAAGGAGCGTCCTTTGTTCCTAGTAGCTTCCTTCCAGGCCCCTATTGCGCTGGTTGATTCAGATAGAGGGGCTTTGCCAGGAATTTGAAGGACACACCCCAGCTGGAACATACCAAGTATGGGACACGATCGTCTCAAAGATTCAAGAAAGGGATCGCAGGGAACCAAACCAACCCTGACATCGCCAAGCCCCCCCGCGCCTCGAAAAAGAATCACAAGTTTGGAAGGTTTGGTTATTTGTGAGCTCATCCTAGCTACCGCAGCACAAAACCTGGACAGTTGCAGCGTACCACAGGTTTTCGCACGACATCAGTGCTCGAAGACCGAGGTGCCACGAAATTGACTTTGCACGAGGAGGAAAATGCAATACCTCGTTCAGCAAAACTGAGGTTGCCCAACAGAATGAATAAAACGACGATGGATGGGACACTATCAGCCAAACACCCTAACAGTAACAAGAAGCTAGTAGAAACAATATTTCTAAATAGGTAACTTCCGCGCGTTGACAAAAGGTGACCGTGGGCACCACCAACTGCCTCGCTACTATTCTCATAGTGAAAGTAGTGCCCCGTCGCTGGCAGAAGCCTCTTGCAGCAGTAAATAGCAGTAATATGGATCACCTGTGAGTGGTTTGGCCTGCACAACACATGAACATGTTTGCTTTTTTGTCAAGATGAAGCTTAATTGGTTTTGATCTCCTGACGTTTTCATACCCACTCAGATACGGCACAACTTTCCATCTGAAGGAACACACTCAGACGCTCAGATCAATTAGTGGTAAGGCAAGCCAGCAAAATGCCAAGCCGGTGGCAACCTCGTTGCTCTATGTTGCTTTGCCGCACGGCTGTGTGCTATTCCAGATTATGCTGAAACATGTAGTCTGCAAGAAAGAATCAGTAATAAGAATCAAATAAGAATCAAATTCAATGAACAGCAACCAAAAAGATAAGTAAGCATTTCCAATCATTTCCCCTCCTAGAAGGCTGTCTGAGAGAAAGCGAGTTGACGTCACGGCCACTCCAAGGCGGGACCATCAAACGAGCCTAAACTCGGTGACTAGTGAAAATCTGTGCTACTCCTAGTGGAAGACGTCTTGCACCAACAGGGATGCACAAACATTGTGGATCTAGCAAACGTGGGTCCTTCTAGAAGCAAGGTGGTGTAGGGTCTCCCAAGTCTGTATACTTCCATACCCAACTGATTCGCGAGAACAGGGCGCATCTCAGAGCAAAGTGAGGACAAGGCTGTTCCAGCCACCCAGGCAGAACAGCGTTTGTTGTGGATTCGCAGCAGCACCTCTCGAAAGGAGTCTGTGAGTCGGGTGAAGAGTGAAGGGCTGGTTGTGCCCGAAAGGAATGGTTCCAGACTATATAAGATTCTCTTGTTGAGTGAAGCCAGAAGGAAACCACTGGGAAAACGACTACTAGTATATAACAAGAAGCTACTAGAAAACAAGGTGCCTTACTCTAGTATATAACAAGGGCATCGCTACTAGTAACAAAGGCACGAGTATGCACGAGTCACAGCTCGCATGGCCGCAGCCTCTTGGGTATGTCCGGTTCTGAGCTGCATAGAGTGACGGTAATTGAGAATGGTGGACCAAAGAATGATGATAAACCATAGGCTAAATGACACGGTGACTAAACTACAGCAACAATATGACCTAATTTGGCTGCAGGGACACTGGGCAAGTCGTGAACCACTGCTCCCTGCTCACCACACACCACACACTAACTTAGCGATGGCCTCCAACCTAATAGCAATGGCCAACTTGCAACAGGCCCTTGACCGAGACAAGAGTAACACTGGTCCTCCACCCTGAAAAGAGACATCCCCATAATTGCCTTCAAAGCAGCTTTCCATTCAAAACAATTACACTGGAAACACGTCGCTTCTTGACCACAAATTACTATGTCCCAATTCTAGAGTTAGCCAAATTGCCATTTGGGGGCATGCAGTTAAGAACTGTTTTTTCTGCATGTTTCAGCTACAAAACGGTATTTCAGCAGAGTTGACCTTCACAAATGCATCCGCCACTCTGTGGCACCTTTAAAACGGCCCCTGTGAATGGTCCTGTCCCAAGACTGTCCACAGCCCAAACGTCGCCTGTTCGATCTTTATTTGGTCTGGGTCGTCTGTTTTCTTGCTCTGCAAAGACAAAAAGGCGGCAAGTGGCCCAGTAGCGCCCAACCTTTGGGGTTCACCCGAACCACCCGGACCAAAGCGACTGAGGAGAGGTCGGCGATCACTGGGTTGTGGACAACAAAGACAACGAGCAAACATGTGGGGAGGGCCCCGAACCAGCACTGTTCAGCACTTCGACATCCGGGGACGATTGCCGAGAGAAGGGCTTCTCTGGCAAATGTGTAGCCAAAGGCATCGAAATACGCCGGAATTGTGAGCCATCATACAATGCAGATATGTCAATGAAAGATGATTGAAAGCATGAATCATATACCGACATCTTCTCCATACATGAGACTTCGGCGTTCCGATGGGCAACCACTTGTCCCCTACATGACTCCATGACATCCCGGTTAGTCCCCTTGCAAGTTGAACAATCTTTGCCATCTATATTATATTCCCTGCAGACATTTATGAAGCATCAACTTGTACCTGCTGTGTTTGGGTGTGTGTGTGCCTCATAACTAGAACCCCTAAAGCCCCTGGGGAAAGGCTTATGAAAACCAGTGGTTCGGTGTCGACTGGAACAGGGGGCCCCATTTGTGGGTTCCTGTGTTCATCATAGCCTTCACATGGTTGTGAGAGATCCGTAGAAGAGCAATACTACTGCCCAACTCAGGTACAGTGGCGAGGATCTTTACAAAGCAATTGAAAAACACACCCTGCTTGGTTGAAGACAAGTCTACCAGCGGCCAAATGCATTGCAGCAGTGGTTGAGAAGGACCTGAGACCTTCAAGAAATTGCAATTTGGACAAGACTCGGGCTCAGGTATAGGCTAATGATACCGATAAATGGGGCTGTCAAAGTAAGTTAACTCCCCCAAAGACCCTGGTCGAAGGCAAACTATACATTGTCTCTGAAACTAGAAACCTGTACATATATATACTATGTATGTCTCTATAGGCGAAAGGTGCAAACTTGCTTGGAACAAACCATTTCCCTGTCTTCTTTTGAACCCATCGATGTTTTGTACCAGCACCATCTGAACATGTCTGAACAATGGGGATCCAACAGTCTAAATACAGTCCTGTGTGAAGGAACGAAAATCCTGCGACTTTCGAGATTTTCCCATCTGAAGCTGCAACCATTTCCTGCACTAACAACAGGTTGCGGTTTACAACCTGGGCAAAAACACATGTTGCTATACTTCGGCAAGCATGCCACCCCTTTCCAAGGGCAGCTACTGGAAGATTTGGCCTTGTTCCAGGAAACCAGTAGACATAGGAGATGTAAATTGCAACCTCAAATCCAGCTTGACAAGTCACACATGCAGCGTCTGCCACAAAAAGACTCACTTGCACCCAGGTGGGTCAGCAAACACCAGGTCAACCTGGGTAAGGTCCAACCCTAAACAATTCGACAGTCAAACCACCCTCAGAGGTTCGCCACTCCTGAACTAGTCAGGACCAAGTCACATGGAATAGATGGAATAAGACGCAACAAAGCGCGTGAATTGGACAACACATTGGATATAGCCATGGAAATCGTACTTATCAAAGGATGTTTAGTTGAGAAATGTTCAAATTATGGAGACAATAAAATAGATTTGAATCATTGTTGCACGTGTGTGTGCGTGGAATCTTGACGGGTTGGATGTGTGCGAAAGGTAGAGGATTCGCACAACGCTGCTGTTGAGGGGAACGTGTGTGTGTGTGTACGGAGGGGACTTCAAGAGAACAAGTGTCAAACCGTGGAGCGAAGGTAACAAAAACTATTTCACAAGAAAACCTAACAGGTGCAGGTTTAGGGGCAATGGTAGCGATTCCACAGAATATATAAGTATTAATCCAAAAAAGTTACTGTAGATTTAAAGTCGAGGAAACGATGCGATGTCTGGGAAAATACATGCAAGGGACAATAACATTGGTAAATGCGGAGAATTGTAAAGAAGAAGCGAAAATGAGTAGAGATATCCAAAGAAAAATGTATCGAAAAAACGAGATTTCTGCAGCAAGCGATTAAAAGCAATGATCTGTATGAGGAAACAACATAATTGACATAGAAAGGATTAGAAAGGTGTGTGTATATGTATATATATATATATGTACTTTTTGTGAAAAAGCAGATTCTCAAGAAGTGTATCAAAGGCAAATATTTCTAGAGAAAAATGCTGAAAAGTAGAGATTTCTAGAGAACAATGACGAATATAAATTTTCTGAAAGAACATGAACATCTACAAGACTTCACCACATCAAACTACTAGTACCTTTGTACACTCTACACTTCACTACACTACGCTTCACCTTGTCACAAAACACCTTGTCATGTCCTTCACATCATCTATTCACCGAATTGAACACATGTCACCACGTCGTAAACCCTTTGTGTAGAGAGAAGTTGGCAGAACAGAACATCTGTCCCTGACCTCTGGCGGAGATTGCCTGGTACTGGACGCATATTCACACACATATATAATATATATATATATATAGATTTACATGAAATAGGGAACTTCAGACCAGCGTAAGCCTCCTGTTTGCACATGCCGTTCAAGGCGTTGGGAGGAGAAAGCTACCACGGCGACTGGACATCATTCGCTCAGCCGAAATGTAAAACACCAATGACGTATTGATCCTGAGGAGCTGTGCCCACAACAAAGGTCGTCGCGACGGGGCTCTCCATGGCGCAGCACAAGGTGAGACGCTGGTGTTCAGTGCAGCATGGGGCGGCTTTTCATGAATCGGCCGTCTTTTTCAATGTGGATTCAAAGCGAGAAGAAGAAGCATTGATCTTAGACATGTTGTTGGACTCGTTCAAGTTCCTGCCACCCACTCGGGTGTGCAAAGAAGGGGACTGCGTGGAACTTTGCCGCGAACTACTGCTACGCATCGCAGAATTTTGATTGGTATGCCCGGTATGCCCACAGTAGATTGACATTGAGGGGACCAAGCATGCGAAAAACCTGTGACTAGCTTGTACCTGTGTCGCTCCTGTGTGACCTCGCTGCTGTATGTCGCTCCAAGCTTTGAGTGACTGAGATCGGCCAGGCTTCAGCTGCGGCCATTTGAGTGAAGATGTCAATGTCACTTCTCTGGTCTACTACAGCTGCAAAGCTGGTCATAGAAAGCAATGTGTAGTTTGCTCTTCCCGTTTCTGCAAAGTTACATTTGAAATCTGTGCCCTGGATCAGGGGGCTTAATCCGACCTTCCACTGAGACTCCAATATGCCAGTTTGCTCCTCTAAATCTGATCCCTGTCCGGCTTCACCAAAGGATTGCCTGATCAGTGCCTTACTGGGATTTTACCTGCTAAAATGCCAAAGTCGGGCATCTCCTAGTACTATCTGGTCTCCCATTGGCAAACCTGCAAGCCTATTGTGGAGGAATAAAAGAACGAGTGTCTCAAAATGGTACAAGGGAAGATAGAGGCAAATCACTGACTAACTAAAGTTCAGAACAGTTCACTAGTTCCCTGGTTGGGCCACCGGGGTTCTTCATGGAGTGCCACTCCATCACAAGAATCCAAAATTTTGCTTGCTGATCCGATCCCTCTTTTCAGTCACAGACTACCGAGGCTTTGAGCTACAGGAATCGCCACCAAAAGGCCATGCAGTGCTCCATGTCACTTCATGTTTTGAGACTGTTCTTCCTTCTTTCTTGTTATGTTCCTTTTCTTTCCTTTGTTATTTCTTGTTCTTTTCTCTCTCTTTCTCTCTTTTGTTTGGTTCCTTGCCCCAAGAAAGCGCTTGGTTCTTAAAACATTGAACTAAGAAATTCAGCAAATCTTGCTCCCCAACCCGGCCTTTCGAAGAGCTGGAAGATGGAGCTCTCCATGGGGTGATCGTTCCCCAGCCGCCCGTGTCAGCACGGCACGTCTTTGGCGCGTCTTCGCGTCGCGGCTTCCCGCCGCGAGGTTTGGCGAGCCCAGCTGCGGCGTTGATACCCGCAGCAAAGGAAGAGTAGATCACCCCTACTACTGAAAGGTCGCGGATGTCGAACTCCTTATCTGTTCCTAGTAGCTTCTTGTTACTAGTAGTAATGGCCTCCAACCTAATAGCGATGGCCTCCACCTAGTAGCTTCTTGTTATTAGGCACCTTTAACAAGGCCCCTTTAAAGGGGGCCCTGCCAAAGCGGCCCTTACCTCTTTTTTCACTCGTCTGGTAAAGAACTATTTCTTCAAGGCTTCTAATCTGGACAGTTGTCAGAACGTCTCTCGGATCTTGGAATTCCCCTTCGATCACCCTCCTGGATGACCTCACAAAGTGTCGAAGCGTTAAAAAAAGCAAGAAACGTAGATGTATCGAAAACCTGAGCGCAACTAGGATGGTCTTAGAGGCAAGCCGGGTATAGACTCAACCATGTATATATATATGTATCTAATAAGCACAATTAGTAATAGTAGAAATACTATTACAATGTATGGCACATCATCATATAATGGGGGTGCATTGGACCATTGGACCATTAATTAACAATGCATAAAATATAACCCAAATGCCACAACAGCATCAGTTGATTTGCTGAATTTGACCAGAGCTTTCAGCCAATGCTTCCTGGGAGTACAACTCCCGAACCAAACAATGAAGTGGAACTTGGATGAACTTGGCCCTTGGGACAGACCTCGAACTAGACAGCTTCCACTTGCGTGCATATTGATTGCAAAAGGGTATCAGATGCAGTTATAGCAATGGCCGCCAACCTAAAATTGGGACATGTTCCGGGAATGCCTAACACCCCGCTCACGAGGAACGAACAAGCTACAGGGTGCCCGGACGACGGACATGCTCACGTCGACAGGTGTTAAAGCCACATCCAACAAGCTCGCTTCGATGGCCTTTTTCAAATCCTCCTCCTGGCACAGGGGGATGCCCTTGAGTGTCCACGTGGTGGGGCTGCCAACATTCCGCAACATAAACTAGCTTCTGAACCAGTAGAAACCGACTTTCCTCAGGCTGGAAACCCCGGCTTCAACAGGCGACTTTACCAACTGTTTGGTTGCTCACCCTGCAGCAATCCCAAAGTGCAAGTATGGACCCGTACTGTACTGTCAGTAATTAATGTTGCTTTGCGTAATCCTGAATGATGGAAAACTCCATGTCTGCTGTATCTTTAGCCGACCAAATCTCGAATTTCTTAGATCTGTCGGCAAACGGGGGCCTTGTCCAACTGTTGGAGCGTGATTTTTCTGCAAAACCAGGCTCCAATCCCGATGGGCCCTTTGGGCAGGTTGTGAGTCATTGACCTCTTGCCACAAAGTTAAAGGGCCCGGCCACCCTTACTTAAGTAAGTGCCTACTGAATTAAGTAAGGGACAAACTTCTTCGCTCCTAGCTACTGGACGCAGGATAGCTCAGGCTAATAATTTGTGTCCTAGATTGTTTGGGAAACTTAAGTATACGCCGTTCCCAGGACATGTTCAGGGGTTGACATTCTCTGGATGTTGGAATTGTGAACAAACGTGAACTACAGGTTGACCCGCGAGGCTTTCACTGCTTTAGTGCCATCTTGTTCATTGGCCAAACAAATTGAGAACACTATATACCTCTGACCCCCCTCAGGGTGTGCTGATCCGGGTGTGGCTGCGCTCGGGAGTGTAGGGGGTCATGGGATTCACATTGATCCAGGGCAACCAAACACCACATCAGTTTGTTTCTCAAATTGATCGGTACGGGCATCAAGCCAAAAACCATTTGCATCCCATGTGCTTTCATGGTGTCTTCCTAATTCCCCCTGCATCGATAAACCCTGCAACGCAGAAACCCAATTGAACACCAAACCAGGAGTGTTTTGAAGGATGTCTAATTGTGTGCGGATTTTCACGGCTGAATGTCCATGTGTTCCAAATGAACCTGATTGTCCTGATGTCCGTTGGTGAGGGTGCACACTCCAATGACTCTCTTGAGAAAGGTTTAAGCCGGCCATGAGTCTGATCCGAACGCAGTCACTCGACCTGGAAATGACTAGTATCGCATTGGTCAGTCTTTCCGTATCTCAAGTCTGTGGCAGTTACCACATGAAGGGTCAAGCGTCAGCGTCGGCTGACTTCACCGGGGTCCTTGCAATTGCTGAGACCAAGTTCTGATATGTTCTAAGTGCTCTGTTGGGACGAGCGCAGTGCATCAGCTCTTCTTTCGGGCATCTCCAACCTTCTGTTTCACCAGAAAACGCTCTCCCTCCCCGGAAAACACGTTTCGATCGGGAAGCGCTCCCAGCCCTTGATTTCTCATATCAAGCACCATGGAGCCCCGTCGAACCCGCTTAATTAATCCATCCGCTCCTCCTGCTCTTCCTGCTGCAAACGCCTCGTCTGCTGCAAGGAGAGCATCAAGTCCTGTGGAGCCTCGATGTGAAGCGCGAAGCGACCCAAATCTGCACGAAGTGGCGTGAAGCGTTGCTTCAGTTTGTCACACAAGCTGCCAATGCAACATAGTATATAAAACAGTGGTGGACCAGTGAACCTTGTCTTAAGACCAATCGAGAACAAGTGACAAATGTCAACGCTGAAAAATAAATCAATATGGTATGTCCAGTTCAAACTGGTTAACATACATGTACATATCCTGATTTATTTCGATTGTAATTATCATCGCGCATGCTGATAAAATACCCAATTATTTCGAAGGCAAGGGATCCCATAATGAGGTGACTGACAAACAATATCAAGCAATGTCATGTTCAAAGGCAAAAATTGGCCTACCCGCAATGAAACCATAGTTGATCGGCGTTTATTCAAAATTTGATACACCATACTCACATGTGAAAACAAAACTTCCTAGCCCTGCAAACGTACGTTACAAAGCAAAGACATGTCCATAGCTGTTTGGTCAAACGTATATAATTGTGCTTTTGGGTATGCATATTACTGTGGTTTTGGGATGCCCTGCTAGTTCCTACAAGTCCTTAGCTCCAGGTTTGTAGCGAAATGTCTTCGGAACCACTTGATCTTTTGGTTCTTCTTGTGTCTGCAGCTGTAGCCTAAGCCTACGTTGCTCATGGATAGAGCAGCGCCGGACTGCTTCAACCACGTGGCCTTGCCCCGTTGCACACGGAGAGGTTTCTCGCTCGTCTCGCTGTCTTTGTGCGCCATCTTCTGTTGGAAAAATTCAGGGATGCAAGCGAGATAGAACCTTAGGGTGACTGGTAAAGGCCAAAAGAAGGCGCTGTTCCTTTCAAGGTCTTCTTTTGGAGGTATCGGTATCTTCATGAGATATTTCTACATTATGAATATGCCCTTGAACAACCAAAAGGCAAGGAATCTAATAGAGCTGCAAAACTTGTCATTCCCAACCAGCTCTGCAGATTGGACACCGGGTGGATCCGTTGATCTCCCAAAAAGAGGACCCGTTTTTCGGCAGGAAGTGCCCAAGAAAAAAGCCTGGGCCTAGTGTATATACATGTCCGGCTGGTCAAAATGACCCTGCACGCATACAACGCATGGTTGGATGATGTTGGAGGCTGCAAGCACCCTAAGCACCCTGAGATCCTTTGAATTCTTGCTATTTACTCATTTGTCTTCTGGTGACCTCTCAAAGTTTTCCAGCGGAGCTAGGATAGACAGACCTTGGGAAGTGGGAAGCCTCTCATTGAAGTAGCTGTTTGACTTGTCAAACCAGGAAGCTCCAGGTGTTTACATTCTTGTGCTACTTGCCTCAGGGCACTGGAATCATGCAAAGCGGGATGAAGATTGAATTATCGAGGACTTCTGGGAACTCAAACAAGGTCCAA